TAGTGAACTTCGCTCGTTTTTAAGATTAGCCAATTATTATAAAAGATTTATAGAAGGGTACTCTAGAAGACCATGGCCCTCACGGAGCTATTAAAAAAAAAGCATAAATGATGTTGGACAAGTGAGTGCTAAGAGGCTTTTGAGAGATTGAAAGATACTATTATGAAGGATCCTATCTTAGCTCTCTTTGACATTGAAAAACCTTTTAAAGTTTAGACGGATGCATCTGATTTCACTATTGAGAGAGTGCTTTTACAACAACATCACCCAATAGCATTTGAAAGTAGGAAGCTAAACGAAGCTGAGAGGAAATATACAGCCTAAGAAAAAGAGCTCTTGGTGGTAGTTCACTGCCTGAAGGCTTGGCGACATTATTTGTTGGGTTCACACTTTGTCGTAAAGACAAACAATGTGACCTTTAGCCATTTTTTCACCCAACCAAAGCTTACAGTGAAACAAGCTAGATGACAAGAATTTTTAATGGAGTTTGACTTTTGTTTTGAGCACATCATTAAAAAGACCAACCAAGTGGCCGATACATTGAGCAGATGAACAGAGTTAGTAGCCCTTAGAAAAATTACCCTAATGACGATTAGTAGAGTCATGACAGACATTCGTAAGTTAATTGAAGATCATTTAAAGAAGGACTCGCAGGTCGGTGCTATCCTGAAGCTAGTTGAATAAGAGAAGTCCAAGTACTTCTAGCAAGAAAATAAGATTTTATAGACCAAGAGGCCCCGATTGTTTGTGCCAAGAGCAGGAGGTTTGAGATAGATGCTAATGAGGGAATATCATGACACACCATAGGTCAGACATCTAGGTTGGCAACGTACTTTGGCTTTATTGAAACAATGATACTATTGGCCTCACATGCGGTAAGATGTGATGGACTATACAAAGACTTACCTCATCTGCCAACAAAATAAAGTTGAAAAGAAGAAACCTGTAGGCATACTTGAACCACTATCGATGCCCGCTAAACTGTGGGAAAGCATCTCTCTCGATTTCATTTCGGGCATTCCTAAAGCTGGTGATCTTAGAGCTATTTTGGTGATGATTGATCATTTCTCTAAGTACGCCACATTCATTCCCAACCCAAAAATATTATACTGTGAAAGACATAGCTCGATTACTATTTAAACATGTGATCAAATACTGGAGCCTCCGTCAAAACATTGTAAGCATAAAGATCTGAGATTCACATGATCTTTCTGGAGAGAACTTTTCAAGATATTAGGGTCCTAACTCAACATTTCTTCAAGCTACCACCCTCAAATCGACGGTCAAACGAAACAGTTCAATGAATTACTAGAAGAATACTTAAGGCATTTTGTTCAAGCCAATCAAAAGAACTGACCTTCGTTATTGGACGTTGCTCAGCTTTGTTTTAATTCCAACAAAAGCTCTTCCACTAACAAGAGTCCGTTTGAGGTGATCATCGGGCAATTACCAAGGCTACCCCATACTTTCTTGAAGCAATATAGAGGGAAGAATCCGACAGCCTTCAACCTCAGCAACGAGTGGAAATAAAACACTGAGATTGCATAAGCCTACCTTAAGAAAGCATCAAAGCCAATGAAGAAATAGGGGGACAAAGGTCGTAGGTCACAACAATTCCAAGCTGGTGATTTGGTTCTTGTTTGACTAGTCGCTGAACAAACCAAGTTCTTGAGAAAAAGAGATCATAGATTAGTGCGCAAATATGAGGGTCCAGTGAAGATCCTTTCCAATGTGGAGAATGTTTTTTACAAAATCGACACACCAAAGTAGATGAAGGTGCACCCAGTACTTCATGTGAGTAACTTGAAATCTTTCCACGTAGATCCTACAGATGCTAGTCGAAGGGAGCCAATAAGAGTCGCCATCACCATGAAGCCACCCTCAAAGCGTCGAGTCGAAAAGATCTTAGCCAACAGAGAAATCAAGGTATCTTGAAGACTAGTTCGTGAATACTTAGTGAAGTGGGAGGGATTAGGACTAGAAGAAACCAGTTGGGAAAGGGAACACGACCTCTAGAGATTCAAGAGGAAGATTGAAGAATTTCAAGCCAGCAAGTCGATGAGGACATCGATAAAATAGGTGGGGGAGGATGTCATGAGCCAACCTTATATAGGGCTATGACTGGGCCTTAGGTTATCATGAGCCACCAATGTATAGAGCCATGATTGGGTAGAGGTGCCAAGGGGAAGGGTAGATCTTTTGTACTAGAAAAAGTGTTCTCATTTCAAACATTGTAATGGTTAGTGATAGCATAGCTCTAAAATCTCTTAGGCTCTTTAGAGGGGTGAGCGGGTAATGTATTGTTGGGCTGTCTCACCGGTAGTGATACGGGCCTAGGTCATTCGTCAAGGGCTACCCCCTAGCCCTAGCGATGGTGGGAAGTCTCGATGTACTATTCTCGATTATAATAAAATACACCCCCGATTCGAATATCCCGAATGTTGTCTTGATATGTTTTTCTTTTTCTCGATATGAGCGTGTCTTTTTATGTGTGTTGGAGATTGATCTCGATATAAATGTGTTTTCTTTTGTACGCTTGGGACTTACTGTGGCTTATGATTATTTGTTCAGATATCGAACTATTGATGATTGACTTGAGTGAGAGCGTCCATTCAAGTGTCACACGATTTATTACTTGTTAAAAGAAAGCCTAGTCCGTGACAATCAACGTGTTCGATATAAGAATGGCAAATGCTGATAGACATGTCGGGAATATCTTGATTGGCAAAGGGGAAGATGGCCAGACTGTGCTTATTCCAATTGATCATGGGCTATTGCCTGCCTGAGAATGTAAGTATTGTTTTATCATTCTAATCACGTCATGTTTGATCATTAAGAGTTACTATTACTTTTTCCTTCAAGTTTTTGCACATTTATTCCCCTCATATATGTGAATTGTGACTAGAAAAATCAGTCAGTTAGCATTTAGTTGGAATTTGGAAATATAGGTTAACTGAGTTGTAGTAGTGTCTTCCATACAGAGTTAAGATCAACAGGTGGCACATAGACAAAAGAGGTTCCAAAGTAGGATTCCAGTTTGATTTAGGTTGAATCATTGTTAGGAGCAGTATCTAATATCCATCTCAGTTCTTTCGTGCAATGTTTCTGAAAAGTTAAAATTTCTTTTTGCTTTATTTACAGTTTGAGGATTGCACATTTGATTGGCTTTATTGGCCACAATCACGGAAGCCTTACTCTCCAGACACAATTGACTATATAAAATCACTGGATGCTGAACAAGACATTGCACTCCTGAAATTTTATGGGTGGGATGTCCCTGTTGAGTGTACTCGCACACTCCGTATCTCCACCATGCTTTTGAAAAAAGGGGTTGAGCGAGGTCTCACTCCTTTCACCATCGGAAGCATCATGTGCAGAGAAACTTTGAACAAGGAATCTGTGATTGAGCAGATTGTTCGTGAAGCTCAAGATTCCTTACTTCCAGGCATGAGTGAAGCCGCATTAATTGAAACTGTCTCTCAAGTCATGGATTCTTGGCTTGACAAGCTCACAGATTGACGCTACCTAGCTAGTTCATGGTACATATTTGTACGTATTTCCTTGATGACGAGTCCATTTTTGTATGGACAACATATTATACGAACGTGGATGGCTTATCTTCTTTTACACGAGCCTGAAGCTTTCGTTTTTTCTTCTTTTACTCTGTCAAGTTATTACTCGATCACGTATCAGTGTATATTGAACAGAGTAAAAGTAATGAATAATATGTGTACTCTGCGAAGATTCTACATAGATTGCAGGATTCTAGCTCAAAACGAGCAATAAAAACTTGTACATAATATCTTTAATCTGAAATTTACATTTGACATTGGTTGTTCAAAATTTTTCTGGGAATATTATGGATCATTCACTTGTGCCTGCAGAAGTAAATAGAAAAAGATAAAGAAAAAGAAAAATAGGAAGCCGGAAGCAATTGAAGGACAACATACCGCAAATATCCTAAGTCTTAAAACAACATACCCATATCCCAAATGTCCTTACCATTTTCCCTTAAATCTGAACTCCTGGGCAAAAAAGGAAAATCAATGAATTCATGACCCATAATAAGGCAACAACATTAATTATGATTTGAAAGGAATTAAAATCCATCCAAGTTGAAAATATGAGGTGTGAGTAAAAGCAAATCTAGAGAATAGTGGTAAATGAAGGAAAATTCAGGCATTTGAAAATGCATACAGATGACTCTTGAATCTTGTTGAGGCATCTTTGAGAAAAATGCATGTGATGTCATTGCAGGTACAAAGTTCATCATTTTTCCCGGTGGTAGACCCCAACCAGCTAGTGGGCTGGTGAAAGTTATTGGTTGCAGCTAGAAACCACTCCATCAATCCATCCGACATCGTCAATTTGGCTATGATTATTGCTTTATTGTAGCACCCTCATTCCTTGCCTCGGTGTTTCAAATTATTGCAAGTTCGCCATAATTTCTCCCCCCATTCCTGTACCATGCCCAAGAAACTATTTTTCACTATGACAAGTGTACTGCTTTGTTCCCTACCTGCTTCAGTTTCCCCCATTTTCCCACCAATTTTCACACCGTCTTGGAAGAAATCTGCCTATGCTGTTGACAAGGAAATGTGATTGTCCTTTACAGTTAAATAACTTAAAACACTTCTATTACAAAGGCTAAGCAAATTAGCAAAATTGAATTAACCGTTTTCTTACAAGGAATCAAACCTTCCCAAAATAGAAAAAAAATCAAATCAGATCTAAGGCTGAAGTAACCCATAGTCAAAAAGAGGACGAACAAAAAAGGAGACCTTCATCAGCAAATTGTAAAAATTTTGGTCTCCTCATTGCATTTCTTCTTATCCATTTTTATCTCACAGAAAAACATTCTCCTCCGCTTTAAAGTCACAGACCTCGCATTTTCTTCTTCTTATTCCCTTTTTTTTTTCTTAACTATCCACTTTTTTCCCACATTTTTCTTGGTTGATCTTGATTCCTCTAAAAGGACAAAACCCCAAATCGGGATAAAAGCAAGAAAAAAAAAAACACAAAACAAAACCAACAAAAGCCTTCACTTACGCGTCCACTGATTACACCACTTTTCTCTCCACTTTCCCATCTCGTTCCCCACATCCAAACGTCACTTCTCTCCAAGAATCCATTTTTTTTTCATCCCCATCCTTTCTCTGTTTAGATCACACCAAAAAAAAAAAAAACCCAAATAAATACATTATTTACCAAAAATCCGTCAATAAAAGAAGAAAAAAAATCATGGCGAAGCATCAAAGACCGCCATCTGGCCGTACAAATCTAGCTTCATGTATTGTAGCAACAATTTTCTTGATCTTCATTGTAATAATAGTTCTCATTGTTTACTTCACTGTTTTTAAACCTAAAGACCCTGAGATCTCTGTCAACGCCGTTCAGCTTCCTTCGTTCTCCGTTGGTAACAACTCCGTCAGCTTCACTTTCTCCCAATACGTCACCGTTAAAAACCCTAACCGAGCTGCTTTCTCTCACTACGACAGCACTATCCAGCTTCTTTACTCGGGTTCTCAAGTCGGATTCATGTTCATACCTGCGGGAAAGGTCGAGGCGGGTCGGACCCAGTACATGGCTGCTACTTTTACCGTTCAGTCTTTCCCCTTGGCGGCAACGAATGAGGCATCTGTGGCAACAATACCCACTACGACTACAACAACGACGGGGCCCATTGGGCTAATTGATGGCTTTGGCGGTAATAATAATGGGTATCGAGTTGGACCCACGATGGAGATTGAGTCTCGGATGGAGATGGCGGGTCGGGTCCGTGTTCTGCATGTCTTCACCCATCATGTGGATGCTAAATCTGGGTGTAGAGTCACCATTTCCGTTACTGATGGGTCTGTTTTAGGGTTTCATTGCTAATTTTTTTTCTTTTTTTTCCACGTTTTTCAGTTTTGGAGGTTTTGTCGATTTGGGTATCAAATTTTGTATACCCAATTTGTCAAAAAAACTGTAAAAATAGTTTCTTTTTTGGTTGCAAGTAAGCTATTTTAGTATAAAGAATCAAAATTTCGAGCTTAATCTGTCAATTTTAACTAAATTTAAGAGTCAAGTAACGAAGCTCAATGTTGTTTAGCACTTTTTTTTTTTTTTTTCTGTGAAGTGATTAAATGAAGAGTATGTAAAGGATGAATTTTCAAGCTTCGCCCTGTTGAGTGTTGATTTAGGCGTAATCATGAGACTGAAACAGAGATTGGTATTTGGGGGTTTGGTCCAATAGTTAAGCAAAGGTCAGTGAATAATGAACTGGAAAGCAGCGTAAAATACGGTTTGTTTTTCGTTTTGCTTTTATTAATTAGAACAATGAGAAAGATAACGACTTCGTTTTAAACTTTAATTAATAGATTAAATATAAAAATGACTTATTTATTATTATTTTTATTAATTTGATATAAAAAATAAATATTTTATTTTGATACTTAAATTTTTATTCTATAAAATATTTTGGCATTTCAAATTAACAACACCTTAGTTAAGTTATTTACTTAACATTAATATTTATAAAACTATGATATATTACATAAATATTTAATTATTATTATATTTTTATTTATTATTTAAAAATAATTTTTTATTTTTCAAAATTTTAATTGATATAATAATAATTAACGTAATGATAATTAAATATTATAATATATGGTATAATTTTATTGAATTTTATATTATATTAATTATTTAATTGATAATAATACTATAAAATATCAAATTACTTAATTAAATAAAAATTAAAATATTAAAATGAAATTTTATTTTCTAAAATATCAAACTGGCAGAAAATAAATATAGGGAGACTATTTTACGAAATACCCCTTAATAAATATCAATTTTTTGTTGCCATTTTGACAAATTGCAGAGCTTGAGATAAAGATGCAATGATTAAGTTTAAATTAATACAACATTAAATTTTAGTTTCAGTTAATTTGAAATTTAAAATTTAATTTAATTTAATTTTTTAATTTAAATTAACTTGAAATAAAAATCAAATTATTTGAATTCACTTATGATTAATATATAAAAATCAATTTAATTCTTATATTTCATAAAAATTTAATTATTTATACTTAAATTTAAAATATTTTATTAATTAAAATATATTAAAATATAAAAATTTGATTAAATTTATAAATTATTTAAATTTAATATAAAAATATTTAAATTTAATTCGATCTTAAATTTAATTCTTTTAATAAATCATATTTAAATTCGATTAAATAATAATTAATTTAAATTTAAATTTTATTTTAATAAAATTTAAACAATTTATAAATCCTAATATATCATTTATAATTTATAATTTATAATTTAGTTTGAAATCATCAACGTCGAATTTGATTGCCCTCGGCCTGGGCATTGATTTTGGATTTGAGTGCTGGAAACGGAGCGGTAAGGAGGAGGAATAGTAGTACTAGTGTTAAGTGGGACCGAGGACAGCAACAGGCACTCAAATATCATTCAATGTCCCCTGACCTCGAAATTCGAGTCTTTGTTTTTTTTAACATTTTTTTCCTTTTAAAAAATATGTAATAGAAGCCCGCACGTCACTTTTGACAACCATTTTCTGCTCCCCCATTTTTAATGGGTAAGAGTAAATTCAATTGGTCCCAGATCCCAACAATAAGTTGCCGAATGCTGGGAAGGGTTTAAGTACAACAATGGTAAGGTTACTCAATTGCATCAATTGCTTCACTCAGATTAAAAAAAATTTATATATATTCCTATTTTCGGGTGTTTTAAATTGGGAGGAAGTAAGTAAGATTGGGGATAAGGTAGTCGAAACCTGCAGCTAAAAAATATATGGGATGTCAGAAGTTATTTTTTTAGGTATATTTTCACGTTCAAATCAATAAAATATATGAAAAAAGTTGTGAAAGGAAGTGAATTGTGCATGAAAATTTTCAAAAGAAAAAAAGCTTAAGTATGAAGTGTGAAATTATCTAACGTATTTTAAATATTTTTTATTATTTTATGTATGAAATAATAAACGATAATTTAATTAAAATAATTGATAAAATATATATGTAAAATTTAAGTGTGAATAACTACAAATCATATATAATAATTCAATATAAATACGAGTTTCATTTAATAATCTTATATAAGTTAAACATCATGCATTTAATTCAAAATAATACTTTAATCAGATGTTAATAGAAATATTAGGTGAACCTTTTCTAAACGAGGTTCGACGATCGAGCCGTTCTTTGAGCGGAGATAACATGGAACTTAGGCATATATTATTTTGACGATCCAAGAGATTCATCGTATCGACCTAGTAAATGGGCGTATCAATCCCAATCCTCAAAATTAGATTATGTTGTTGAGTTAGGTGCGACTTGGAAATTTGAGCATGCTGAAGGAAAACAGACAAAAAAAAGAGGCTAATAAATTCTATCTCACATTAGATGGGACTAAGAAATCTAACAAATAAAAGAGAAAAAGATACTGTTCTTAATTTCTCTTCCAACATGCTAAATTGCTATAATCATTGGGTGGAGCTCCAGCGCAGGACGAGTTTCATTCCCAGACTTCCAGCCCAAACTGTCCTAGACATATATAAGCCACTGTTATTCTGGCTCTACCTAGAGAAGCAAAGAAAGAAAAAGCACCATGCATGACATAACATGTAAAATCATGATGGGTTGGAAATGAAATCGAAGTTGTCGAAAGACAAGTAATGCACCAATTCCCATATTTTTCAATCAGTTAGAGATCAAATGGAAGACGATCTATGACCCATGTTTCCTTAACCCACAGCAACAAACAACAGGAACTAATTGAGGCAACATATACAAGGTTTTTAGAGGAGAGAAAAACAGCTCCAACACAATTAAGCAATGATTAGGTGATTATGTACAATATTATTCGTATAGCAACGCAAAAATATATTAAATCCTAAAAAAACAAACGGCAAAAGATAATATCAAGTAGAGAAACCCATCAAAATAAATGACTTAAACAATCCAGCATCTAAATGCTTCTTCAACGAAGAAAGAAAAGGAAACGAAAAGATGGCGTGAAGAAGAAACTGTTACAAGAAACGACAATGACATCGTTAACGGGCCAATATTGCAGGAAAGATTGTCCGCTTTTTGTGGAAGTGAAAGGTTAGAGCAGATATGAGTGACTTAAATGTGAGACCTGTGAAGAGTTCCGTAATAAATTTGAAGCAGTGGGTTGAAGAGACGGCGCACAAAGCAACGTTAAGATGTCTCTGTCATCCAACAGAATTGTTGGGGACTCCAAACGAGGTTCGCGATGTTCCACTCTTTTTATTGAAACGACATCGTCGATTGAGGTCTTCAAATGGGCTTTTAAATGAAATTTGGGCATTGATAAAAAATTTAAAGAATAGTTACTTTTTTTTAAGTTCTTAATTTACATTTAAACATTTTATTTTTGTTTGAAAGAAAATATTATGCATATAATTTTTTTCAAATCTATACCTCCAAAATAACATGCTAACAGACCAACTGATCCAAATGTTGATCTGCGATTGCTTATGCAGCAAACATTTGTATATAGATTTATAGAAATGTGGCATGCACAACAAATGAGATCGCCATCTGAAATATGGTTAAACTATTGCCTTATGAAATACAATAAAACAAACCTACCCGATTCTTCCCCTAGTTTGACTCTGCTCATAAATGAAAGAATGATGCTGCCCAATGCCATCAATCCAATTTCACCACTCTACTTGGACCAAGCGACTGTATCAATATCTGCTTGTGCACTCCTGTATAATTCCAGCCTCTTCGCGAGAGCACTACGTCGCTCCATGATTGCTGGATCCTCATTCAATAAAGCTGATAATCGTTTTTGCTACAAAATTTTCCCAAAAATCAATCACTGATCATCTGTTTCACCAAAATATGTGTATGAAAATGGTAAGAGAGAACCATTCTCACCTCCAGTTTACCCAATTCAGTGTAGAAAAAGTCGAGCAGGCTTCTTTTGGCTTCACGGACTTGACAATAAACAATGGACTTTGGAATAGAGTGGCCCAAACTAGCACAGACCATATTAACATAAGACAAAACTGTTGTTCCTGCTCATACATTGTCAAAGAAACCCATCATCAGAAATAATATAAATTGAATTTTAATATCCTTCATTGAAATTTCAAACAATTGAGATCTGTCCCTCAAGAAACTTAATTTTTTGTGTCTATGAACCTACCAATTCTCCTCAGGTATGAGTCAGTGTATCTGTCAAATATTGATTGTGTAGGGTTGCCACCCTTATCCACATCTTGAGGAAGCTTTCGGAAGAAATCAACTGTGAGGTAACTACATTCCATATCTACTAGTTGAAGTGTTGCTTTTTTGCTCTGTTCCCTCATTCTGTCAAGAGACTCAACTGCAGCATTTCCAACCTCTACTCTGAGAGCAGGATACTGCTTTAACTCCTGAAAACCAAACCAAAATGATGCTTATATACCACGACAACCTTGAAGAATACTAAACTCAAGGTCAAAAGATAGCAAACAGAGAGGATTTAATGGTATAATCCTCCAACAGGCATAATTTCTTTGATACATGAATAAGATAAGCAAAGACAGGAACATACTGGAGTCTCACTAATAGCCTTGTGAACCAGATCCTTCAGAATGGAATGAATCTGAAAAATGTGACAAATGAAATCAATCCAATTTGAAGCATCACTGTACAACCAGCATGATGCACTGAGTAATTCAAAAATTTAAGAGGAAAAAACATGTCGTAAATCAATTATAGAATTGGAATGTCTAAGGTGGAGCAATGTACGCAGACTTGAAGACTTGAAGACTCCCCTCACTCTTCCTTCCCAAAAGAGCAGTAAACCTAGAGTTCAGTGCATGTTACACATCCATCATCCCTTCCCACCCAAGAAATGAAAGAGTGACGTCCAGCAAATTCTAAAGATTTATAAGATATGGGCAAGGCATGAAAGAATGGAAAACTCAATAAGCCAGAAAGGGAAATGCAAGGGATACCTTAATTTCATTGATCAATATTTTCAATGTAAGACAACTAAATAGAACGGCATCCCAAAAATCTCAATTTTTGAAGAAGTTTTGTAGGGAAAAGAATCACAGCTGAACTGATGCTAAGGAAAAAAGAAATGGAAAACCTGATAATCTCCACATGCCAAATTGAACATGATATACCATTTTTCTAAAATTTTCTTTCATACCACATCAACAGCAGCCTCAGCTGGACCTCTGATAGTAATTAAAGTAGATTCAATCAAACGACGATATCCTTGTTCAGGAGCTATTAAATGAGGTTGATATCCATCAGCTTCAGTAACGAGCTTCCTAA